TTATAAGCTCTCCTAAAGTGTTCTACAGGCTTTGTAGAAACAAAGCTTCAGTTGTAACAGTGCCTGCCGTTCCCATGCCAGCGCTCCCCTCTCCTTCTCCTCCGAGCTTCGGGTAAATATTGACATATTTTGCCGCTTTGAAGCCGGGGTGAATGTGACGGAGTTTAGATTCTCATCTGGACTCCATTAGTGAGCAGGATTAGGGCTAATGATATCCTACAGGAAAACAACAGTAGCTAAACATGCAACTTCAGCCTCTCCCTCCCTCGCCCTCTTCCTTCCCTCCCTCCCTCCCTCCCTTTCTCTCTCTCTTTCATTTTCTGCTCCTCTCCTACCTCTCGACCTCTTTTACTCCTCTGCTCTTTCACGAAGCTGAATCGAATGGGGAAAAAGCCTACAGGTCTGTAGAGCTACTGTGCAGCTGAAGTGTTGAATTGATCACCCAAGTCCAACCGACTGCTCTCCAGTGATGATGAGATCACACAAGTCCAATGAACTGATAGAAATACGGGTATAATTGTGTTCCAGATTTCTGTCATTAACCCAACCCTCCCTAGTTCTTTTTTTCATCTGCCACGTTCTGCCAGATTCAGCTTTGGCAGATTGAGTTCTTTTCTTTGTGTTTCACTTTGACGCAGCGTTTAGATGTTCCTGTCGCTTTTTGTCTTTTTTGTCTTTTTTTTTTTTGCTCGTTCTGTTTAGTTAGAGGAGTTCTGTAGGGCTCTCTGTATCCCCTTTGGCCTCGTTGGCGTGCGGGGGTGGGGTTTAGTGTCAAAAGCCCTTATTACCGTGCCGACGAGGAAAAGCAGCCAATTACACGAGTCTGCCTCCGCATCTGTGTCCAATCACAGGCAGCCAATCAGCATTCAGCGGTTTGGCTGCAGTAACTCAGTAAGACAAAAAAAATCCCTGAGGAGAAACCGTGTGTGTGTGCGTGTGTGTGTGTGTGGGTGTGTGTGTGTGTGTGTGTGTGTGTGTGTTCTCTTTGAGAGAAAATATCCACGGGGTTGTTAGCAGCTCACACTTCCAGTGCCAGTCAGTCTTAGGAAATGTTTCATTCCGTTGTGAAACTCTGAGTTTTTGGTGTTTTAGGGATGTGAGCAACATTATGTGCCAGTTGTTTCTGTGCGTGTCTGTGTGTCTGTGTGTGTGTGTGTGTGTGTGTGTGTCTGTCTGTGTCTGTGTGTGTGTGTGTGTGTGTGTGTGTGTGTATGTATAATACCTTCTATCTCCATTTTTCAGTTTTAGAGATAATTGTAAAATGCCTGTTTCTCTTTACATTGTGTGTAAATTTCATGAGCAATGGACCAAAAGAAATGAGCCAAAATGATATGGGGGGAAAAGTCTGGTTCCATTGACTCACATTAAATGTAAAGCATGTTTTTTTCTTTTCCTGTAAAGTTATTTTGGAGATACGAGGTTTTCTTCCAACATATATAGCTGTATATATATATATATACATACATACAGTATGTATGCAAAAGTTTGAGCATGTTCATTTGCATGTTTGATTTTTGAAGTGAAAATAAGTCAACACTCTAAAGGTAACTTAAATATCCTTTTTTCTGCTAATTTTTGTGCACAATTTCTATTAATTTACTATGTTTAATGCATTGAGAAGTGAATAAAATATAAAATGCACCACAACTGTTGCAAAAAGCCACATTTTACGTTTTAAACCACCACCACCCCAAATTTGTTAAATTCAACAAATAAACAGTAATTGTGCATGAAAATGCGCAGAACTGTGTTCTCTGTAGAGGATGTGTTCACTTATTTACATTTAGAAAATCAACACAACATAATTTGACCAGGGCACAAACTTTTGCATACGACTGTATATAAGCACATTACTGTCCAAAAGTCTGAGACCGCTTTTCATTAATTTAAGCGTCAGAAGAAGAAAAAGCAGAAAACACTTTAACCTTAAAATTACACAGAAGCCTCAACAGCAAAATCTGATATTACATTTTCAGTGTTTATTGTGTTCACACACTGCCTTTATCACAGCCTCCACTCTCTTCAGGAGACTCACTTTCAGTTTTATGTACAGAGATGTTTCTCCACACCTCCAAAGTTCAGTCTTAGAAGCTGGTTGATCATTTTCTGCTGTAATCAAACACATTCAGTGGTGTTGAGGTCTGGACTCTGGGGTGGTCAGTCCATCGTTCAGCTTCTTTGTGTGATGTGTCCGTCTCCTTTTCTCAGTGAGGTTCTTCTTGATCAGCTACACATCCTTTCAGACCCACAGCGCTGAGTCGTCTTCTCACAGTGGAAGGATGGACAGAACCACCTGTGGATGTTTTCAGATCTGAAGCAGCTTGATTTTCTCCTCTCTCTCAAAGATGAAAGCTTTAAGTGCTGTTTATCTGATGGGGGGCAGTTTTGGTGTCTACCAGGTCTTCCAGGTGGTTGTTAGGAGTCATATTTATTATGTAGCTTTTGTTTGAAGTTTTCACTTATTTTATATTGACTTTGCAGTTCATTACGCAGGTAGACTGTCTTAAATCTAATCTCTTTAGAAACACCTGACAAATGAATAACTTGAAAGAATTAATGCTCTTTGGCTGTTTTTACAGCTGTAATTATGGTGATGCTAACTAGCCTCACTTGTATATAAAGTAATATCTTAGTTGATATAATATAGTCTTTAATTACCAGAATCAACATTCACTTAAGTCTTCGGCCTTGAACGGTCTATTATTACCTGAAATCATATCGGCATGCCTGTGTCTAGTGGTGGAAGACTTGAACACTGTATTATCCAGTTGTATCCGTAGAAAGGGACGAAAATGAACCAGTAACTGTTTATTAACAATCATTTGCATTTACATTATGAAACTCACAGGTGATGTTTTTCTTTCGGCCTTGTAAAGATGATTTGGAATAAAAAAATAAAGTAGGCATACGCATAAACTCATCATTAGGAGTAAGTATATGTAAACAATCTGTCCAAAAAGATGGTGTACAGCACATACGTGTGGTGACTGACTGCCCTTTAACATCCATATGTAATATGATAATAATAAGACCAACCATCTGTCAGAAATGCTCACACACGCAGCCCTGAACGTATGTGTGCTACTCTTACTCAAACTCGTTCACGTTCATTAGCACAAAACACCTTCACAAACACACGCACACACACCCTCCTCAGCCAGTAGACACTGGTGTGGTGAGAGGTGTCCATGGCAACCCAGTGAGGCTGGTCTACGGCTAGTCTGAGCCTGGCTGGCAGGTCTGCGTTGGCCCTGATGCTGGCAGAACGAAACGCCTCTCCAGGCTCCGTTTGTGTTCTGCTCTCTGATGCTTTATCTGTGCTTTGGGTGGCGTGCCTGAAGAGAGTGGGGGCTGTCAGCATTTCTGTATGAGGCTGAAAGAGAGGAAGTGGAGATGATGAGATGATAGTGATACTGCCTGCCTGAGCTGGAGATGTTGTTGGTAATCTCTGACTGAGAGAGAGAGAGAGAGAGAGAGAAAGAAAGAGAGGGAGCTCAGTCTTTGTATGTCGTCCAGCTTTAGAGGAATAGCCAAAATTTAGATCAGCCAAGACATATTTACTGTCTGACGTTTGATGGATGGATGGATGGATGGATGGATGGATGAATGGCGTTATTAATCCTGAGGGGAGTATATATATATATATATATGTATGTATGTATGTAATACACACCGATCAGTATAACATTATGACCACCTCCTTGTTTCTACACTCATTGTCCATTTTATCAGCTCCACTTACTATATAGGTGCACTTTGTAGTTCTACAGTTACAGACTGTAGTCCATCTGTTTCTCTGCATACTTTGTTAGCCCCCTTTTTCCCTGTTCTTCAGTGGTCAGGACCCCCATGGACCCTCAAATAGCAGGTCCTATTTGGGTGGTGGATCATTCTCAGCACTGCAGTAACACTGACATGGTGGTGGTGTGTTAGTGTGTGTTGTGCTGGTCTGAGTGGATCAGACACAGCAGTGCTGCTGGAGTTTTTAAACACCTCAGTGTCACTGCTGGACTGAGAATAGTCCAGCAACCAAAAATATTCAGCCAACAGCGTCCTGTGGGCAGCGTCCTGTGACCACTGATGAAGGACTAGAGGATGACCAACACAAACTGTGCAGCAGCAGATGAGCTATCGTCTCTGACTCTACATCTACAAGGTGGACTGACAAGGTAGGAGTGTCTAATAGAGTGGACAGAGAGTGGACACAGTGTTTAAAAACTCCAGCAGCACTGCTGTGTCTGATCCACTCACACCAGCGCAACACAAACTAACACACCACCACCACGTCAGTGTTACTGCAGTGCTGAGAATGATCCACCACCCAAATAGTACCTGCTCTGTGAGGGTCCATGGGGGTCCTGACCACTGAAGAACAGGGTAAAAGAGGGCTAACAAAGTATGCAGAGAAACAGATGGACTACAGTCTGTAACTGTAGAACTACAAAGTGGAGCTGATAAAATGGACAATGAGTGTAGAAACAAGGAGGTGGTCATAATGTTATGCCTGATTGGTCTATAGTCTGTGTAGTAATAAGTAACAAACTATAACCTTGTTATGTAATTATCAAGATAATAACTTGGTTTATTGCTTCTTTTCTTGAGTGCCTTGCTCTCCCTTTGCTGCTACAGCACTATGATATTTCCCCGTTGTGGAACTAATAAACGATTATCATATCTTATGTTGCTCATAGCAAGAAATGGCCCTGGACAAGTGTGTGATGATCGAGGCATGCAGTCTGAACGATGCTGACTGGTGGCTATAAGCTTCCTTTACTTGTTAGTCACATTAGCTTCACAGCTCCAGTGCAAAACATGGGACAGTAGTTTTTATAATCTATTACCAGCTGTAAATCTGTCTGTCTGAGTGGGCAGTATAGACTTGTGTGGACATCAGCGTCTTCTGATCTTGATATTTGACTGTAGTAAATAATGTACATTTCATTGAATAACTGTATCTCTCTCTCTCTCTCTCTCTCTCTCTCTCTCTCTCTCTCCTGCAGGTATTCCCGCCATTGCCTAATGAAGCTGAGATTGCACACACCAAAAAGCTTTTTCGCCGACGCCGCAACGACCGCCGGTGAGTCAGCGCTGAGCTGAGGCGTTTGATTAAAGTTAGGATGCATTATTAACAGCTAGAGACCCCCTGACGGCACGCTGGTGCGGGGGTCCCTCTGCTGCTTCTGTCACACAGTCTCATAACAACTGGCTGAAAATGCAACGAGAGGAATGTTGGCTTTAGCCGTGTGAAAGAGGAAATACATCACACGCTGTAACACTTTCCACAAGCCCAGCGTTTAATACTGAGCTCGGATTAGGAGATTTACGGATGGTGTCAGGTTCCCTAAAGCGCCGGTGGAAGCGCTGTTTGAAATCTGCAGCATGTGCAGTTCGGCGAGTATCTCTGAGTATCTGCCTTTTATTCCCCACATAATCTTCACCTTTCATCTTCGCATACGACTCCTTATTTTAACTTGACGTCACTGGAAAGTTCTCGGTGGCGGTTTGCCGTTGCTTAGAAACAGCTAAAAAAGAAAATATTTTGGTCTGAGACTGGACGAGCTTGAGGAGACTGGAGGAGAGCAAATCCCTTTTGTTCTTGTCTTTCTTCAGGCATGCACCGTTACGTCGTCCGGCCTGCTAGTTTGACCTGACAGCTTACAAAGGCAGGCTGACGTTTTTACCCCCTAGAAGTCACAGTTATCACCAGTGATGAGACAAACATGTTGTAATTAGCTCATTTAAAAAGTGGAGAAATTGTATGGAGTCTAAGCTTTTGATTCACACCACATTATGCTTGTAAGTAGGAGAGGAGATACTTTATTAGCATTTGAATGATGAATAGATATTGTTTTGCTTTTTTGTGATGTTTTGTTGTTTTCTGACATCAAAACGAACAGAAAAAGTCAGATATTCAGACTCAGAAAAGTATAAATGCAACTACTCTTGTAACTCGCTGTTATTCGTTCTTTAACTACTTTTAAAAATGTATATAATGTATAAAAAATGTAAAGCAAAACAACGAGGAGTTCCAGCTTTTCCGTCCTATCTTGAGAATTCTCGGTGAGTCAGTTTTTGGGTAGCCTCTTTCCTTCGGAAAGAGTAAGTGAAAATAAGTTAACGCATCCTCTACTGAGAACACGCTGAGTTTACCACATTGGATAAAAATAAGGAATAAAATGCGGCACACTTTATATATTTTTAAGGGAAAATTCAGCGAATAAAGAAATGGTGCTCTAAAATTTCAGAAAGCTGCCACAGTTTGTTCAGTGCAGACAAAACACATACATACAACTGTATATATAATACATAAGGGACATGTGTGTGTGTGTGTGTGTGTGTGTGTGTGTGTGTGTGTGTGCGGTAGTGGTGGCTGTATGTCAGGACCCTTGGGGTTGCCGCATGCTGCATGGCCATAATCAGGCCATACCTCAGACCCACACTGCAGTCATGACCTTCAGAGAGAGAGAGAGAGAGGAAGAGAGGGGTATAGAAGGTGAGAGGGACACATTCAGGAAGTCATATGGAAGGAGTGAGAGAGAAAGAATGATCGCTGGAGTGAAAAGAGGAAGGAAGGGTTAGAGGGAGATGACAGGAAAAGGGCAATGCGTATGAGAGAGAGAGAGAGAGGCTGAGATTAATAGGCTGTGAAAGCGTTTGAGAGAGAGACTAGAAAAGATAAGACAACTGACGAGTGCTGCGTCTGTGACCTCTGTCTCAGTGTGTCCCACTCTGAACTCGTCTTTACTGCACAACGCTGTACAGGATCCCTCTTCTTCTGTTCTCTCTGCTCTCTCTCCATACTTCCATCACTCTCCTTCTTTCTCCCACTTTCTTTATCTTTATTATCTCTCTCTCCATCTCCCTTTAGGACCTAACTCGCATTCACTCTCTATGTCCTCTCTCTTCCTCTTAATTTCACTTTTTCTTTCTCTCTCTCTCTCTCTCTCTCTCTCTCTCTCTCTCTCACTCCGTACTCCGTACCCTTGACAGAAGGCTTTCCAGTCTGTTATTGCTGTGTACCGGCCACCCACAATGCCTTGCTTCTGGCAAGGAGGACACTGTAGTCTTGTTGTTTGTTGGCATCAATATTTCTCTCTCTCTCTCTCTCTCTCTCTCTCTCTCTCTCTCTATCTCTCTCTCTCTCTCTCTCTCTCTCTTCCTTTTTTGCTAGTTTTTGCTACTTCAGTTTAGGTGATTTCACACTGCAGGCGTTTCCAACTGAGATCCTACTTTTAGCAGGAAGCTGCTGATTTGAGCAGAGCATGTGATCCCATAGTAAAGCGTAACGCAAAATGTTGTAATAAACTCTGACGCGAAACGTTCTTGTAATAAACTCTGACGCGAAACGTTCTTGTAATAAACTCTGACGCGAAACGTTCTTGTAATAAACTCTGACGTGAAACGTTCTTGTAATAAACTCTGACGTGAAACGTTCTTGTAATAAACCCCGATGCGAAACGTTCTTGTGATAAACCCCGATGCGAAACGTTCTTGTGATAAACCCCGATGCGCAACGTTCTTGTGATAAACTCTGACGCGAAACGTTCTTGTAATAAACCCCGACGCGAAACGTTCTTGTAATAAACTCTGACGTGAAACGTTCTTGTAATAAACCGACGCGAAACGTTCTTGTGATAAACCCCGATGCGAAACGTTCTTGTGATAAACTCTGACGCGAAACGTTCTTGTAATAAACCCCGATGCGAAACGTTCTTGTAATAAACCCCGATGCGAAACGTTCTTGTAATAAACCCCGATGCGAAACGTTCTTGTAATAAACCCCGATGCGAAACATTCTTGTAATAAACCGACGCGAAACGTTCTTGTGATAAACCGACGCGAAACGTTCTTGTGATAAACCCCGATGCGCAACGTTCTTGTGATAAACTCTGACGCGAAACGTTCTTGTAATAAACCCCGATGCGAAACGTTCTTGTAATAAACCCCGATGCGCAACGTTCTTGTAATAAACCCTGACGTGAAACGTTCTTGTAATAAACCGACGCGAAACGTTCTTGTGATAAACCCCGACGCGAAACGTTCTTGTAATAAACTCTGACGTGAAACGTTCTTGTAATAAACCGACGCGAAACGTTCTTGTGATAAACCCCGATGCGAAACGTTCTTGTGATAAACTCTGACGTGAAACGTTCTTGTAATAAACCCCGATGCGAAACGTTCTTGTAATAAACTCTGACGCAAAACGTTCTTGTAATAAACTCTGACGCAAAACGTTCTTGTAATAAACCCCGATGCGAAACGTTCTTGTGATAAACCCCGATGCGAAACGTTCTTGTAATAAACCGACGCGAAACGTTCTTGTGATAAACCCCGATGCGAAACGTTCTTGTAATAAACCGACGCGAAACGTTCTTGTGATAAACGCCGATGCAAAACGTTCTTGTAATAAACCCCGATGCGAAACGTTCTTGTGATAAACCCCGATGCGAAACGTTCTTGTAATAAACCCCGATGCGAAACGTTCTTGTAATAAACCCCGATGCGAAACGTTCTTGTAATAAACTCTGACGCAAAACGTTCTTGTAATAATCTCTGACGCGAAACGTTCTTGTGATAAACCCCGATGCGAAACGTTCTTGTAATAAACTCTGACGCGAAACGTTCTTGTAATAAACCCCGATGCAAAACGTTCTTGTAATAAACTCTGACGCGAAACGTTCTTGTAATAAACTCTGACGCGAAACATTCTTGTAATAAACCCCGATGCGAAACGTTCTTGTAATAAACCCCGATGCGAAACGTTCTTGTAATAAACCCTGATGCGAAACGTTCTTGTAATAAACCGACGCGAAACGTTCTTGTAATAAACTCCGATGCGAAACGTTCTTGTAATAAACTCTGACGCGAAACGTTCTTGTAATAAACCCCGATGCAAAACGTTCTTGTAATAATCTCTGACGCGAAACGTTCTTGTAATAAACCCCGATGCGAAACGTTCTTGTAATAAACTCTGACGCGAAACGTTCTTGTAATAAACCCCGATGCAAAACGTTCTTGTAATAAACTCTGACGCGAAACGTTCTTGTAATAAACTCTGACGCGAAACATTCTTGTAATAAACCCCGATGCGAAACGTTCTTGTAATAAACCCCGATGCGAAACGTTCTTGTAATAAACCCTGATGCGAAACGTTCTTGTAATAAACCGACGCGAAACGTTCTTGTAATAAACTCCGACGCGAAACGTTCTTGTAATAAACCGACGCGAAACGTTCTTGTAATAAACTCTGATGCGAAACGTTCTTGTAATAAACCCCGATGCGAAACGTTCTTGTAATAAACCCTGATGCGAAACGTTCTTGTAATAAACCGACGCGAAACGTTCTTGTAATAAACTCTGACGCGAAACGTTCTTGTAATAAACTCTGATGCGAAACGTTCTTGTAATAAACTCTGATGCGAAACGTTCTTGTAATAAACTCTGATGCGAAACGTTCTTGTAATAAACCGACGCGAAACGTTCTTGTAATAAACTCTGATGCGAAACGTTCTTGTAATAAACTCTGATGCGAAACGTTCTTGTAATAAACTCTGACGCGAAACGTTCTTGTAATAAACTCTGATGCGAAACGTTCTTGTGATAAACCCCGATGCGAAACGTTCTTGTGATAAACCGACGCGAAACGTTCTTGTAATAAACCCCGATGCGAAACGTTCTTGTGATAAACCGACGCGAAACGTTCTTGTAATAAACCCCGATGCGAAACGTTCTTGTAATAAACCCCGATGCGAAACGTTAGTAAACCCTCCATCTTTTAAGACCGTTTATTGTTAAAACTGCATTAGAACTTCCTTAGCGCAAAGGGTTCCTATAGTAAACCCCACCGCGAAGGGTTCCTGCGGTAAATGCTAGTTCAGAGAGTTTAACAACTATTCCGATAGAGATTCAGATTTCAGTGCTTTTACTGACATCATCTCCACAGGACACTTACATCATGCTGTAGGTTTCCTGTATTATAATGTGCTATATATACGTTCTTCTTGATGTTTATTAGGAGAACTTGGACGGTCTGGACATCGTTAGTACAGTCGCCGCAATTCCTAGTTGTAGCTTTAA